ACGGTTAAAACTTGTTGGAGGTCACTCAGGGTCACGACCTTGACAACATGTGTCAAGGTCAAGGTCATCGGAGGGTGGTCCGTTATAATGCATAATTACCGAGTTGGGTAATCGGTTTAGCATCCCCTTAATATAATATTAAAATTCGCATGTGAGAAAATATATTCTAACACGTTGCTAAAAATAATCTCTTACGAAAAATTAATGGATAGAATGATTTTCTTGTGGTACAGTAGTTACGAAGGGATACCTATATTTAATAATAATAAAATACGAGCGTCATTGTAATTTTTTATATGTTGGGTACAAAAGTGTCTCGGGTACCAACTGTTCGAAATGATCCAAACACGAGAATAGTGATATTTTAGAGAATTACTTATTTTTATAGTTACAAATTTATTTTATGTTTAAAATTTAACAGTTTCATATTTTTCTATTTCTTTCAAAAATTTTAATTATTAACCCCGTTAATATGTATCCATTTGATTCATCTCGAATCTTTTGTGCTCACGTATTTGTAATTAAATTCAATATTTATAGGATAACGTTGATAAAAAAGTATAAAGCATTTTGATAAAATTATCTAACGCAACGAAAATCAAAGTTCTCTAAATTCAATCTCATAAATGCATGTAATTTATTATGAAAAAGTATATATATAGATATATTTGTATATGTATAAACTGCTATTACTAAATTAATTAATACACTGAATGGATGCCCAATACCTGAAAATGATTTTTAAAACAGCCAATAGTTAGAGAATCATACTATATACATATTCGTAACCACAATTTTGTTAAAACAATCATAAACAAAGCAAATCATGAGCAAATTATTTGTACAAAATTTGAATTTATTTATTTTATAACTTCGATGTAAGCAAATGAGCATTATATCTATATACATGGTGTATAAAAAGTCCCGGACCCCTTAAATGTCTTGAAAAGTAATCATTTAAAAAAAAAATGTTTTATACAAAATGTTGCCGGCGGCGGGAGCCCTCGATCAGGTTCCCCCGTGAACGGCAGTAAAGACAATTTATTTGCGCCGGGTTCGCACGGACGCTTCGCTCTCCAGATTCGTACTGTTCTTTTCGTCGTGCGAACTCGAACGGCTCGCGGCTTTGATTGCAGAAGCAATAACGCGATTCACCGATAACATCGTAATGAGCGACGAATCAGAGGGTCACACATCAAGTACGACGAGAGTCTTTTTTATGTGTCGAAAGACTCTCGTCGTCATCGGCACACAAACACTCGCTCTCGACGTCGACATTGCCCGAAAGTCGAATCAACAACGATTCGAAACGAAGAAGTTTCTCGAGCAATCTCGACGACCGCACGAATTGACGCTCCAATTCTGAACACAAAAGATGTAGGATTGAAAATGATCTATTGACTGACCTTATCAGTTTGACCTTGTGTGGTGCCACCAAGGTCAAATCGATTTTTTTAAACGAAACATTTTTGATTCTAGAATGTAAAGCTGAGCTTTCCAAAACACTATAATAAAGCCTCTTTTTAATCAGTACTTTTCAAGTTATGAGAGTTGAAAGTTACGGACCCGCCGCGGCATTAGCATTAATGCCTAAGATGATCGTATCCATTTTAATGATGCGGGGATGGAGTGGTCATAGGAGGTCTTACGCAAGCGACAAGACTTTTCAATCAATTTTTTAGAAATAAAGACAATGGTATATCTAAATCAACTGTCATTCGTTTGAACATTTGTCATTCCTTTAACCCAACTCGTCTTACCTATCAGTTTTTAATTACTTTCTCGGCTAGACCCCACCGGGATCTGGAACTTCGTTAAGTTATATCTCTGAATAGAAAACGTATTTTTAACTTATCACATGCAAAATTGATATCTCTAGAAAATGACAAGAACAAATAAATAAAGATATAATATTAAAAATGGATACTATTATCTTAGCGTAGGTAATGCTAGATAGAGGCCCTGCGATAATACAGAGTATCAATCTCATTCGATGGTTTCAGTGGGGCGTGCGCCAAAGCGCCGAGATGGAGATGGAGATGACCTGAGTGGAGCGTATCTTTGAATCTTAGAACATATACACATGTGTATATGTTCTAAGCTTTGAATACAGGTACTCGCCTCTTCTTTGAATATTTTGATATTATAGGGTAACGCACGTGTCATATTTTTTTATTAACTCATTAAAACCATACTAGTGGAGTATATTGGTTCTCTTAACTGTATGAGCAAATTCTATACTTTGTGGAAATTTTATCGTATATATATATATATATATATATATATGTGGCATTACGAATCGCAATTAGACGAAGGTAAAGGCGAACATGCTAATTTGTGAAATGGCGAACAACGGACAGTTGATTTAAAGTGTGGAGTATAAAGTGAAAGTTACTGTTGTATTGTTATTTGTTTTTTGGAACAATAAATGTGGCGAAGACTTTGGAGATGTTTTCGCCCACATTGCGCAATTGTGCTGTGCAGAAGATTGCGTTTAAAAATTAAAGGAGATTCAAGAAGTTGTGTGGCAAATGGTCATCGAAGATTAACTATTAGCAAGAAACAATTTTCCAGATTATATTAATTCCATACCAATTATATTAAAACTAAATATGTTATATATAAACCAAATAGTATGACATTTTGTACGTCTCCTTATATTTTTGCATTAATTGTGTATTATATATATTTATCAATTGGCCTATTTTATTTTAATAATAGTTACTATTTATCTTATCCTTTTATTCACAATCTTCAATTCTCCAACAATTAAATTTTTCTTGAAATTAAAGTGAAAACAAGATTTAATTAATGACCTACCAACTATAGATCTTACATTGATCAATACTGGTGAAATGATATTAAGTATAACTTTATTATTGATCATATATTATAGATTCTTAAAGTTTTGACACTTCAAGTTCTGTGCATACATGAAACCTTAGTTCTTAGAGTGATGAATTTGTAAATCTTGGATCTTTGATTTATGTCTTACATTCTATAATTTATAATTTTTTTAATATTGATGTTTCCGTACATTTTTTTATCTATATAGGTACTCACATTTATAAGTTTCATAAATAACAAGAAATATGGAGTCGTTCATTCCAGTCTCTTTAAACTAAAACCGCATTCCCTACAATCCAGCAAAATAGACAGCGAACCCCCTCTCGAAAGTGCCCCTGATAAGAAACCTAAATCGGAATGGCCGCAGGAAGGCTAAATTGAATTCAAGAACACGTTCCTGTCTTATGCGCCACTGGAACCTCCAGTGCTGAAAAATCTCAGTTTCATCTTCCCAAGGGAAAAAATCGGCATTGGGAGGACCGGAGCCGGCGCCGGCGTCTTAATCATCTCCGATTCAGGTGCTCTTCCACCTGTTCGATGTGGATGGTCTAATTAAGATGGACAAAGTCGATACGAGATTGGCTTGCACGATCTGCGTTCTAAGATCAGCATCATCCCGCGAGAACCGTTTCTGTTCTCCGGCAGCCTGAGACAGAACCTCGATCCGTTCGACTTGTATACGGACGAACCACTACGGCGAGCTCTAGACAAAGTCGAATTGAAGGAGATGGGCTTGGAAGTCCACATCAATGAGGGCGATTCTAATCTCAGAGTCGGCCAACGACAATTGGTCTGCTTGGCGCGAGCTATTGTGAGGAACAATCCAATACTCGTGCTGGACGAGGCGACCGTGAATGTGGACCCGCGAACAGACGAACTTATACAGACAACTATCAGGAAAAAATTCGAGAAGTGTACAATGCTAACGATTGCTCATCGACTCAACACCGTTATGGACAGCGATCATAAATAGTGATGATGGATATAATGTGATGGACAGTTAATTTTTCTTTATTTTGTTTTCTTGAATGTTATGATTAGAGCAACCCATCGAATGAATGTAAACAGGTGACAAAATCTTTCCTTCTATCTGTGTTTGTGGAAAAACAATGTAACGAATCTATCGATTCTTGTAACATATTTTATACTTCTCGTTACAGATAATGAAATTTATTTACAATCTTTTAAAGCAACATAAATTATACGTGGATTTATATAAATATTTTATTGTATGAATCTTATGAATTTACCCTTTAATAATTTTTGTATTGTTTCATTAGAGTTTTTGTTGAGTAAGCCACTTATTAGTTGATACATAATTACAAAATCTTGACTATATAACCAATACTGATTACGTTGAGAAAATGTTTCATTTCTTACTTATTTACAATAGCCTCGATATAAACTATCTCTTAAACTGCGAACTTTTATATATCGTACGCAGGAATTCGATCATCCTTACATGCTGCTGCAAAAAGACACGGGCTACTTGAAAAGCATGGTGCAGGAGACCGGCAAGGCGATGGCGGAGGTCCTGGCTTCCGTCGCCCATAACTGCCATCAGAATCGTGGATTCACGGCGTTTTGATGTATCCACGGAGTTAACTTTTTGCAATTGTGTCTGATGAATATCATGATTAGGTCATGAAGATTCCGACAGTTTTTGCAATTATTACGCTAAATTCTGTGATTTTAAATACATGAAGAAAAGTGGAACGCGCAGTCTGAGAATTTAGAATTCATTATCGTTTACTCTCTCGCATACTTATCACCGTACTCTACATTCTGTTCGCATTGAAATTTTATTTTATTCTATATATTTTTTTTCTAAAAAATTTATTTAATTCTATAAAATTATAGGACGTCATGGTTTAGGATATTAT